CATACAAAAAAGTTACACATTTTGTCTTTTGGTCATTTTGATGCAATAATCATATTGCATTAATGTCACAGTCACAGAGACATTTACACACCACAAAGTTGTGCAAATGCTTTGATTCTACAAGGTTTCCCTCAGAAAGCCCACAGTGCCCAGTGATAAGGGGGCTAGGGCAGTCTACCAGGAAGCCACCATATGTTCCTATTAAATGTAAAAAGTAGGGCTGCACCGATTTATTGGCCAGCCGACTTATCGGTGCCGAATTCCTTAATTTTGGGCCATCAGTGATCTGCTGATCTTTATATGGTCAGTTGATCTTACCCACCGATCTTATCTAGCTTGGCAAAGGTCTAAGAATCAACCTTTGCCTTGTTCTCCGACGAGAAAGGTTTGATTGACAGACCGCCCCGCCAAGTTATGTCTGCACATTTACAATTAACAGTAGTTACCCCACTGTTGTCAACTCAACAACTTTCTTGCTATATTGAGTAACATTTCAGACAAAAAAATGGTATCGGCCAAAATCACCTTTCCGGTGATATTCTGACATATGAGATAGGAAAAAATATGGTCAGAGCTGCCTGTGCAACACAGAACTATCTCAAAGGGGGGCAGGGAAATACTAGGCACACTTATGGGCTTAAAATCACCAAATAAATCACAAGTGATGACTTGCTTTAGAACACCTACAACAGAAGAACATGAAATCTGCTTCTGGAGAGACAGAAACTTGTAAGGGACTTTACTCTTTTTCTTTTCTTTTGGGGAGTGCAAGGGGTGGTTCACCCCTACTGACCTGTCCATAGCTAAGTGTGTTAGAGAAAGGTCAAAAGTAATCTAATATTGTTCTACAGCCTGTGGAACATTCTTAGTTGTGTGCTGTAGTTTACACCACACCAGCGTAAATACAGCTCTGATAGGTGCAACAAAATACCAAAAAAACAGTTTTAATAAACTTTATCAATTGAACTACACTTTATTTTACACTTTGATACAAAACAAAGAAAATGGCAATCAAAAATAAATGCTACAAAATACAACACAATTAAAACTTCAAAGAACCAACTCTGTTCTTGCCCTATTGGTTAAAGCAGAGGCCTTTCAGGATAATCTAATGATGTACTTTTTACCTCACTGTGCTGCCAAGTTTGCAGCTTGCCAATCCGTCTCCCGCTGTCTCTTGACTGGTCCTCAGGCCGCTCACCAGTGAAAACCTTCAGCCTCCCGTCTGTCCACTCTCTACCTCAAGTCTACCTGAGAGAAACACAGTTATTTCCAGACGCCACCACTCCCTTCCAACCACATACTCTGCCAAGCTATTTACTATCCTTTGGACTCTCTTGACGTGACCAGATAACAGAAATTAATTCGTCATCTTCTCCATCCTGCAAATCAGCTGCCTAACTCATTTACTTCTGTCCTCTGTGGACTTCCTGGTCCAATCCCTGTCCTTCATTTGCACATTTCAAATAATTTTGTAAGATCTGCGTTTGTGTGTCTTTGTTACCTACCTAATAGTCCATTTGACGTCATTATGAAAAAGACTGTCAGCTACACTGAATACACACTCAAACTGCATAAAAATTAGTTAAAACAAACCAAATTAGCATTGCAAGGTGTGCTAATTACTCTTAACAGTGTTATTTCATACAGAAATGTTCAGTGAATATGAAGACTTTTTGCCGCTGCATTGCTTCTTTATTAAAGGCTTCCTGCTTTCCCCAGAGCAAGTTGAAATGATGTAAAAGTCATTGAAGTGTTACACTGCTTTCCCTTTTATCTCTTTGTCTTGTCTTCTGTTCCTTCTGAGAGTTTGTGGTAATGACGAGCTCTGGTCCCGCAGGTGCATACTGAGAGAGAGACCACATTTTAATCTTCCCCGCAACGCATTTGTCTTTCGTCACATCTACTTAAACTCCCTCAGGTAGTTTTGAGGCCAAATGAGTTTCTCTTTTCTTTTGCATTCATTCATTTGCTTACCATAGGACCTTTTTATTGTTCAGGGAGTTGGCTGGAGCCTATCCAGACCATGATGAGGTGTGAAGCAGGGTAACCCTGGACAGATTGACAGCAAATCACAAGGGGAGGAACAAAAAAGGAAAACATTCTTTGTGGTTGCGGTTATTCTTAATATCAATTTTGAGGTAACATGTTATTGTCACATTCAGAGGATTACCTAAATAACTGCCACTGTTGTCTGTTGGATTGAAATACTTCTGTAAAGCAAAGTGGGCAAATATTACAATTTCAAGATGTGGAATGCTGATTGTCACTGAATACTGAAATTGAATTAAAAGGTGATTATACAATTTTAAGTTTGAGTTGTGTTCTTATACCACCAGATCAAAAAATGTTTTTGTAGTTTTTCTCAATTATTTTAAGTTTTAAAAACTGACTTTTTACAAGAGCTTGTACAATTTTCAGAGCTACTTGCTGTTCAGTAGACATGGTAGTATTGTGTTGATGTAGTGGAGTAGGAGAGTCGGAAAAGGTTGATCCTTCCACAGCTCAGGTCATCAGTTATGGCGCAAAATTACATTTCTTAACGTTGATTTTGATAAACACGGCATGATCATAACAAATGATGGTGCTTGATTGTTGTATAAAGTACGTATAAATGCACAAGCCCTCCTTTAAAGTTTTCAGACTTGACTTGGACTTGAAATATAAGATTTATGCCTTGAATAGCTAAAATAAGAAAATAAATCCAATCAACAGTAAAGTTGCTGGTCACAATGTGGTTTATAATATGGCCTGTCAGCTTATGTTGCCCGCAGGTTGCCCAAAAAGGATTTAAAAAAAAAATCTTTTTCTGTTTGTCATCTTTTTGCTGACACTCAAACAGGCTCTTGTGCCCTTGTCAGAATTGCTTTATAACACCCAATATAG